CCTTGGAAGGAAGGTTGGGCAATCTACTTCCATAGTGATACTGCCTTGGAAACCCAAGGAGGGGTCGCTATGAATTGGGTCTGACTCAACGGCACATAACAACAACAATAACATTTATATATGACATTTCTGTTTCCAAATTTATTAACTTAAGTTGTATATAATACCTTCATTTTCAGATCTCCTATATATTTTGTATTTATTGGTCATTCTTACTTGAAGTCCACTTATAGTCAATCTTTTCAAAGAGACAGCTTTTTTTTTTTCTCTTCTCTATTATTTTTATTCTCTACTTGATTATCTATTCTTAATCATTTCATTTGTTTTGTTTTTTTGGGTTTGTCCTAGTGCTCTTTTCTCCAGTTTCCTAATTTAAATGATTAGTTTACTTTTTATTTTCTATTTTTTTCCTAAAGTATTTAAAGCTATAAATTTCTAAGTATTGCTTTAGCTGTTTCCCACAAATTTTGATGTGCAGTGTTTTAACCAGCATTCAATTATAAATATTTCTTAATTTCCTTTATTATTTCTTTTTATAGCCCAGAGAATATTTTGTTTCCAAATGTGTGGGATTTTAAACAATCCTTCTGAGACTGATTTTTATTTGTATTTACTTTGGTTGTATACTACATTCTATAAGAAGTTATTCCTTTGGAATTTGGATGGAGTTTCCCCACATTGCCTAAATAATAGTTCTTTTTTTGTAAGTGCTTCTTACAAATAATATGTATTCTGTGCTTTTTTGAATATAAAGTTTATCCACATAGTCTGTTTACTTTTTAGAGCTTTGCAATCTCTCCTTATTTTTTGTTGATACCATCAGTTCCTGAAAAGGGTGCATTAAGATTTTAACTACAATTGTTGATGCGTCTGTTTCACCTGAGCTTCTGTCAATTGTTGCTTTTTGTAGTTGAAACTTCTAAGCTGTGCATACTTTTATATCTTATTGCTCTTTTACCAGTATATCATATTCCTCTTTAGCCCATATGCTGTGTTTTGCTTTAAGAACTATTTAGTCAGATGTTAAGGTATCTAACTTTTTAGAGTAGTTTTCAGAATTTCTTTTTCCATCTTTTTTCAAACTTTCTTTCTCACTATTTGACCTGTCTTGTAGCAAATATATTGGCATACTTTGTTTTTTGTTACCCAATCTGTGATTATCTGTCCTCTGTTTATTGATTTTAAGTTTTTATGTTAATTGCAGTTTCTATTATCTTAAGATTCATTACTGTTGTATTATTTATTTAAATTTCTTTTTGCTGCATTGTTTTCTCTCTTTTCTTGCTCTATCTACAACAGATTGAGTTTATTCTGTGTTTATTTTCTATGACACTTCCCTAGTTAGGAGTTTTGATATTCTACGAGCCCTTTAGTATAAGGTCTTTTGTTTTTCTCTAGTTCTCTAAATAACAGAAGTCATATACTTCAAGATCCGTTATTCCACATGATTGAATGAGTTGGACTTTTCTGGACCAACCATTTGTAAGTCCAAACCCTGTCTAAGCTTAGCTACTTTGATAGTACTTACACGTTTTGGTGATTTTGTGGATTTTCTTTATTCCCTTGTTTTAATGGCAATGTGAGTTGACATTTTTCCCTTTTTGCTCAGTGTGGTTTTTGGGAGAAATACAGTGGAGATTTGCCTCTAAGCAACTGCCTACGTTTTGAGGATTTAAATTTCTACTTACATTGTATTTTCACTTTAATGGAAAAGAAGGAAAATGTCACTTGACAGGTTTACTTCCTCTATCTAATATAAGTACCCTTCTATCTCTTCTCAGAAGCAAGACTGGGCACTCTACTTCCATAAAGATTTACTGCCTCAGAAACTAGTAGGGGTCACTATGAGTCAGAACCAACTCAATGGCCGTGTTTTGTTTTGTTTTGTTTTTTTCCTGTCTCTCCTAGACAGAGCCTAAAACTTCTCCACTTCTTTTTCTTTAATTATACGTTTTAAGTGCCTGAGGATCTCATCTGCCTGCTAACCAGAAGGCTGGTGGTTCAAACCCACCAGCCATCCCTGAGAAGGAAGATTGGGCAATCTACTTCAGTAGTGATACTGCCTTGGAAACCCAAGGAGGGATTGCTATGAGGCAGATCCAACTTGACGGCAGTGAGTGTGGGTTTTTTGGTTAGGTTGTCATTAGCATTTTCAAGTAACAGCTAAAAAGATAGCTTTACCATTCTAACAGCATTCCAAAAGGGCATTACTGGTTTTACTTTTAAATCTTATTATATATTCATCTGTTTATCACTTTTATAGGTTTGTTATGGCAGTCAACATGAGTCAATATGAGCTTATGGAAAAGGTTTCTGTAGAAGCATATTAGTTTATTTAGTTCCTAATTTGTATGATTTTTATGTCAATAAATGTGTAAGCTATCAGCTGTTTGTTACTCATCGATATAGTTCATATATGGCACAATGATCATAATTTAAAGTTATAGTGATTTTCATATTAAACTTGGAGTGATCCAGTCTTATTTAATATATTTTTAATGATTTATACAATGATCTTCCATGCACACCACATCCAGATAGCAATATATCTTGTTTAAAAGTATTCTGTAGATGTGCTGTTTATACCATTTGTTCATTTGAGATACAAGAATCTGAACTCATGCAATAGGAAATTGGGCAACTTTTCTTTAGTTATCTGTCCCTAACAATATCCAAAGTGTATGGATGTCATTAACTCAGGATTAAATGAGAATTACTGAAATGATATCATGGACTAAAACTAAATATAGTTTAAAATCCAGTTGACTCCACACATCGTAATACAACTATGAATACTTCACAGTAGGAATATGAATGCATTTCAAACCCTTCCAAAGTTCTAACTTTGTAAGATTCCTTAGCTAAGTGGGATGACCTATCTGCCTACCATTTCTTTGGTTATTCTAGTCTTGCTGATATTATGCGCATCTTATGCTACCTTTATTTCACACCATCCTACATCTTTGTAGCTTCTTGCTTGTATCCAATTTTTTATTAGTAATTCTACAGAACTTTTAGCCTCTACATCAATAACTGCTCAAAGTTTCGGCTTTAAGTAGAGCATTCTTTGCAAGTGCTTTTAAAAGAGGTTGTTCTTCAAAATACTCACTCAACTACTTATTGCCGACCTCCTGTTGATCTTGCCATAGGAGCTGTTGTTTTTGTTTGTTTTGTTTTCTGTTTGTACAGTCCTGCTGATTTCCTGTGTCTCCTTCAGCTATTTTTTTGTTCTGTCCCATGGCAGGGATGCAAGGAATGAGAAAATAAGGTAGAGGAGGTGGGTGAAGAAGAAGAAGGAATAAATGCAACCCCTTTCTTTCTATAGACATATTTACCAATTGTATCCATTCTGAAATAATCCCCCTTTGATGGAAACATGACTACCCTTATACCTCCTGTCTTAAAATAAGAAGTGTCTTTCCAAGCTGAGGTCAATCGTTGGGGAATTTTAATGTGTAACCATATCACATCTTCAATCTTATAAATTTTATTTGTTTCTTAGGACCTTCTTAACCTTGGAATATTAGCATGTTGTTGTTGTTGTTATGTGCCGTCGAGTTGGACCAGACTCATAGCGTCCTCTCCTTGGGTTTCCAAGGCAGTATCACTACAAAAGTAGATTGCCCCATCTTCCTTCCGAGGAGTTGCTGGTGGGTTTGAACCACCAGCCTTCTGGTTAGCAGTCCAGTGCCTTAAGCACTACACTACCAGAGCTCCTGGAACATTAGCATATACATTACAAAATTGAAACCTATCTTAATGATGATTAGAATTACAAAAAAAGTATTAGTCTTTTACGTTATCTCTCAGTTTAGGGTAATTATGGCAGTTGTACTCTGATAACAGCTAGTTCTTAAATACATCTTAAAGCATAGATTCTTAATCTGGGGGAGAGGTCTATGAATTTGCTGGAAGGAATCTGTGAACATGAAATTTTGTGTGAGTTGCATCTTTCTGGGGAGAATTATAATAGATTTCATTATTCTCAGAAAGCTTGGTGAACTGAAACATTAAGAATTACTGTCTTACAGTACAATAATTGATACTTAGTTAAGAGAAATTTTGGAGAATTAAAATTTGAAGACTCAAATTGCAATAAATTTTAAATCTATGTATTTATTTCCTTTTAGAAAGCAATATCTATTGCAACATTGCAATTAGGCTTTCAGCATTGGCCAGCTCAGGAAGAGAAAATCATACAATTTCATAATCAACTTCAGGTAAGCATAGAATGGCATGTTAGTAGCTCCTTGTCCTTGGTGTTAATAGATGAGAACAAGAGGGAAACCAATAAAAATATTAAAGAGCTGTTAAGCTTAAGCTGTTACTTCAGCATTAAGTAGTTTATTGATTATTTTCATGGACTTTATTATTTGAGCATCATCTTAACTCTCTTAACAAATTAATTTTTTCACCTTTATCTCCTTGTGAAAACTCTTCAAATGTACTGTACAATACTGAATCCAATTGGTACGTCTTTTTTGAATTACCATTCTCCCAGAATGAACCATTGGTAAAAAACATCAGAATACGTATTTCCCTGATTACTAGTAAAATTGTACATCATTTCTTATTTTTATTAGCCATTTGATTTTTCTGTGAATTGCTAAATTATGTACTATACTGATTTTTTAACTTATTTATTGTTAAGTATGCACATTTTCTACTATATATATTTTTTATTTTAATTGTGATTTGGGTGAGTTTACAGAGCAAATTCATTTTCCATACAGCAGTTCAAACACATTTTGTCTCATGACATTGACTGCAATTTCCCACAATGTAACAGCTCTCTCCCCACTTCCTCCCCCATAGTTTCCTTTTGCCTGTGTCTTTCCCTCCCATGCACTCCTGCCCCACAAGCTGGGTCCCTGTGCATACACTGCCTTTCTGTTATCCCATGACTGATCTCTCCAAGGAGTGTATCTACCTGATGTAAATGTTGAGCCCATATGCATATTATTTGGCTAGAAGCCACAGGAGTGATTTCAATTTCAGACCTGAAGGACAGCTAGGGGCCTTAGCCTCATGGGTTTCAACAGGCCCTATCAGAGCAGTAAAACTGTTCTTTTTTTTTTTTTATGATTTTGAGTTTTATTCCACATTGTTCACCTACTCTGTCCAGGATTTCCTACACAGATCCCCCTTTGAGTGGTTGACAGTGGTAGCTGGACACCATCTAGTTCTTCTGGTCCCACGGCCATATAGGCTGAGGATCAAATTGTCCCTTGGACTAATTGTTTCCATGTGTCTTTGATTTTCTTCATTTTTCTTTGCTCTGGACAAGGAGAGACCCATCATTGCATCTAGGTGACTCCCTGCAAGCTTTTGAGGTCCCAGTTGCTACGCCACAAAGAAGGGTGTGGAACAATGTTTTTGTTTAATATGTTATGCCAATGAGCTTGGTGTCCCCTGCAACCATGGTCCCGAGCCCATAGGTCAAACTACTCACTCCTTCTTGTAGCTGGCAGTGGCCAAGAAGTCACCACAACCTTGTCAATTGTAAGCTCTACTAGGTACCTGGCCATTCTTATAACACATACAAATATGCTTGTAGAAACATCATCTGCCAACCCAATACATGGTTGTGGGAATACTCCCCCCTGCCTAGACAAACCTGATCATTCAGCCCATCCACCCATCTATTCACCCATAGATCAATGTTTGCCATCACTGGCAACGTAGTACTGCATGTGCAAAAGGGTTCATTTTTGTTGTCTGTACCTCCCATCCACATCTCTATATCTTCCTCTTCCTCAACACCACCATGTTGATCACTCACATTTGGTATATTGCCCTTCCTTTCACCCAAATCAATACTTATCTCAACCTATCTAACAGTGTTCTGCCCCTTCCCCTCCCACCTCTGACAACCAACAAAGAAAATTTCCTTCCAATATATAAACCTTTCCTTGACTTTTTACAATAATGGACTAATAGGATATTTGTCCTTCTGTGATTGACTTATTTTACTCAGCATAATGTCCTCTGAGTTCATCCACATTATGCAGTGTTTTGCACATTCTATGTTATTCTTTAGGGTTACATAATATTCCATTGTGTATGTACCATAGTTTGGTTATGCATTCTTCTGTTGATGGACAGCTAGGTTGTTTCCATCTTTTTGCTATTGTAAATAGTGCTGTGATGAACATGGGTATGCATATATCTGTTCTTGTCGTGGCTCTCACTTCTTTAGTATATATTCCTAGTAATGGAATGGCTGGGTCAAATGGTATTTCTAATTCCAAATTTTCAAGGAATCACCATACTGCTTTCCACAGTGGTTGTATCATTTGATAGTCCCAGCAGCAGTGTATGAGAGTCCCAATCTCTCCACATCTTCACCAGTATTTGGTATTATCTGTATTGTTGAACTTTCCTATTAGTGCTGGGGTCAGATGGTATCTCATTGTTGTTTTGATTTGCATCTCTTAATGACTAATGATTGTGAAAATTTTTTCATGTGACTGCTGGCTACCTGAATATCCTCTTTGGCGAAGTGTCTATTCATGTGTTCTGCCCATTTCTTAACTAAATTTTTTGTCTTTTTATTGTTGAGATATTAGAGTTTTCTATAAGTTTTAGACATAAATCCCTTGTCAGATATGTCATTGCTAAATATTTTTCGGCAATCTGTAAGTTCTCTTTTAATTCTTTTGGAGAAGTCTTTGTTGTTGTTGTTAGGTGCCATCAAGTTGTCTCCAACTCATAGCAACCCTATGCACAGCAGAACAAAATGTTGCCCAGTCCTGTGCCAGCCTCACCATTCTTCCTATACCTGAACGCATTGTTGATGTGTGCATTTATTGCTACAAATTGCCCTTTGATCACCTCTTTTGCTGTGTCCCAAAGATTTTGGTATGTTGTATTTTCATGTTCATTTGATTCAAGGAAATTTTTATTTCATTTTTTTTTTTAATTTCTTCTATTATCCAGTCATTTTCAAGGAGGGTGTTAGGCAGTTTCAATGTTTTTGGTCTTTTTCCATTCATCTTCCTATTGTTGATTTCTAATTTTACAACATTGTTATCTGAGAAGTTGGTTTGCAGTATTTCAATGTTTTTAAATTTATTTGTTGTTGTTGTTGTTGTTATGTGCCGTCGAGTCGGCCCCGACTCATAGTCACCCCTCCTTGGGTTTCCAAGGCAGTATCACTACGGAAGTAGGATTGCCCAACCTTCCTTCCGAGGAGTGGCTGGTGGGTTTGAACCGCCAGCCGTCTGGTTTGGTCTATCATGAAGAATGTGCCCTGTGCACTGGAAAGGAATGTATATTGTGCTGTTGTCGGGTGAAGTTGCTCTGTAGGTGTTTATAAGGTCAAGTTGGTAGATTGTATTGTTTAGTAGTTCTGCATCTTTGTTGAGATTCTTCCCATTGGTTCTATCTTTGAAAGTGATGTATTAAAATCTCCTACTATGACTATGGACTCATCTATTTGTCTTTTCAATTCTGTTAAAGTCTGATTTATGTATTTTGGGGCTCTTTCATTGGATGCATAAATATTTATTATGGTTATGTCCTCTTGTTCAATCAATCCTTTAATCATTATATAATGTCCTTGTCTCATATAGTGGTTTTTGTCTTAAAGTCAATTTTATCAGAAATTAATTCTACCACTCCTGCTCTTTTATGGTTCCCATTTGCTTGTTGTATCTTTATTCAACCTTTGATTTTTAGTCTATTTGTGTCTTTCTCTCCGAGGTGTGTCTTATGTAGACAGCACATTGATGGATTATGTTTTTTGATCCAGTCTGTAACTCTCTGTCTCCTGAGTGGTGAATTTAATTTGACATTCAGTGTAATTATTGACAAGTATGAATTTGTTACTGTCATTTTGTTATGTGTTTTTTCATGGTGTTGGTGATTTCTATGTTCCATATCGTTTTCTGTGCTGAGCTCATTTTGTTTATGAAGTGTGCTATTATTTCCTTTGTTGCTGTTGTTTAATATTTCCTAAATATTTGAGCTTTTCCTCTTTTTTTATTGTGATGCAAGGGTTTATCATTTTTCTTTGACATTACCCTGTGATTTATAAATTTCTTTCTGAGTTTAGAACAGTCTACTCTATCTTGCAGTTCTCTTGACTTCCTCATCATTTAGAAGTTCTGTAACTACACTATTTTCTCCCTCTTTTTGATTTGTAGTAGTCTTTATTTGCCAATTGATGTCTCTGATGCCCGTTTATAATATTGAAAGCCTATTTTACTTTCAATACTTCCATAACTGGGTTGGTTTCTGGGTTATGTCATCTTGTGTGTTAATGGTCGGTTGTTTGCTGTTCTTGGTTCTCTTTCCAAAGGACTCTCTTTAGCATCTCTTGTAAAGTTGGTGTGGTTTTAGCATACTCTCTTAATTTCTGCTTATCTAGAAATGCCCTAATTTCACCATCATATTTAAGGGACATTTTTGCTGAGCTTATAATTTTTGGTTGGAAATTTTTGTTTCAAGATTTTATATATATCGTCTCATTGCCTTCTTGCCTGCATAGTTTCTGCTGAGACATCAGAGCTTAGTCTTATTGGTTGCCATTTGTAGGTAACTTTTCATCTTTCTCATGCTGCTTTCAGGATTCATTTTTGTCTTTGGTTTTGGTGAGTTTGATGATGATGTATGTCTTGATGATTTTCTTTTGGGATTTATCCTGTTTGGGATTCACTGGACTTCTTTAATGGATGTATTCTCATCTTTCATCATATCAGCAAAATTCTCTTCCAATAAATCTTCCACTATTTTCTCTGTGGTTTTATTTGTCTCTTCCTGTTCTGGAATTCCAATGACACATAGGTTATTCCTTTTGATGGTATCCTGCATGAACTTAGGCTTTCTTCATTTTGTTTTGATCTTTTTTTCTTATTGATCCCTTTCCAAAGATGTATTGAGGTATTTGTCTTCAGTCTCACTAATTCTGTCTTCCATTTATTAATTTCTATTCTTATGCCCTTTCGATGTATTATCCATTTCTGAAAATTTAATATTAATCTGAATTTCTTTCTGTAGATTTAGAATCTTTTCTAATTTTTCATTTATTTTGTCATTTTGTTCTTCTATAATCTTCCAATATTGTTCTAGGATTTTGTCTGTATTCTCCTGAATTTTGTCAGTGTTTTCCTTGATCTGTCTCTCAATCCATTGAAGGTACCTAAATATAATTCTTTTGAATTCCTTGTCAGGGAGTTCTATTGGGATTCTGATTGGGATAGAACTAAATTAATAATTATGGTGGGAATTATCATATGATAGTGCATCTTTTCCTCCATGCATGTATTTGTCAAGATTTTACCTTGCTTGTAAGCTAACAAGTTAGCCTATCACAGTTTCATACTAGTTTAATGCTGCAGAAGACAATAAACTCCTGATGAGAGACAAAAGACAGTCAGTTTGTTATTCAGTAAAACAATTGCTATATTAACATCATTTGTGCCAGTTGTTGTTGTTGTTGTTATGTACCATCAAGTCAGACCCAACTCATAGCGACCCTCCTTGGGTTTCCAAGGCAGTATCACTATGGAAGTAGATTGCCCCATGAGCTTTAATTCCTTTTGAGCCACACAAGGCCCAGGTGACACCTATACAGATAATAAGTTGTGGTAAAAGATAAGAACCCCACACTTAGCAATTCCCCTTTCTTATAAATATGCCCAAACTTTGCCCATAATATTGTTGTCAGGTGTCGTTGAGTCACCTCTGACTCATAGCAACCCTGTGCACAGCAGAATGAAACAGCACCTGGTCCCACGCCAGCTCCACAATTCTTGCTATACTTGAGCCCATCGCCACAGCCACTGTGTCAATTCATCTCATTGTGGGCCTTCCCCTCTTTCATTGACCCTCCACCTTACCACACATGACATCCTTCTCCAGGGAATGGTCCCTTCTGATAACATGACCAAAGTAGGTGAGACGAAGTCTGGACATTCTCTCTTCCATGGAGCATTACAGTAGCACTTCCTCCAGGACAGATCTGTTAGTTCTTTTAGCAGCCCATGGTACTTTCAGCATTCGTTTTCAGCATCACAACTCAAAAGCATCAGTTCTTCTTCGGTCTTCCTTATTCATTGTCCAGATTTCACATGCATATGAGGCGATTAAAAATATCATGTCTTGTGTCAGGCACACCTTAGTCCTCAAGGAGACATCTTTGTTCCTCAGTACTTGAAAGAGGTCATTTCCAGCCAACTTGCCCATTGCTATACATCATCTGATGTCCTGACTGCTGCTTCCATTGGTGTTGATTGTAGAACCAGGTAATACAAAGGTATTGACAACTTCAATCTTTTCTCCATTTATTGTGATGCTGATTATAGGTCCAGTTGTGAGGATTTTTGTTTTCTTTATACTGAGATGTAATACATACTGAAGACTGTAGTCTTCAATCTTCATCAGTAAGTGCTTCAAGTCATCCTCACTTTCAGCAGGCAAAGTTGTGTCCTCAGCGTATCGCAGGTTGTTAATAATTCTTCCTCCAATCTTGATGCCATGTTCTTCATATAGCCTAGCTTCTCAGATTATTTGCTCAGGATATAGATTGAATAAATATGGGGAAATGATACAACCCTGACACTCTCCCTTCTTGATTTTAAACCATGCAGTATCCCCTTGTTCTGTTTGAACAAGACCCCCCTGGTCTATGTACAGGTTCCCCATGAGTACAATTAAGTGTTCTGGAATTCCCATTTTTCTCAATGTTACCCACAATTTGTTAGGATCCACACAATCAAATGCTTTTGCACTGTCAATAAAACACAAGTATATATCTTTCTTGTATTCTTTCCTTTCAGCCAAGATTCATCTGACATCAGCAATGATATCCCTTGTTACATGTCCTCTTCTGAATCCAGCTTGCGCCTCTGGAAGTTCTCTGTCAATGTACTCCCATAATGGGAGACATTATCTCTGGTTTCTAAAACTGTTTGCTATACAAACACCCTAATTCATAGTCAATTATCCTAGTAAATATAATAAGTATTTACCTCCTGATTCACTGGTCCAATTATTCTATAGTAATCAAATAGTAAGTAATACAAGTTTCCAATTCATTTGAGTTTGCACAGGGTTCTCTGTAAGTGTTCAAACTTTAGAACTAGGTTAAAATTTCTTAAAGTTGCAGGAATATAAAACACAAATTCTGTCAAAATGCATTACTTGTAATGGTTAAAAGGATCATTTCTACTTCTACTCCTTGGTTTCTAGATCCATGTCTTCTAATTGGAAGGGAAAAAAAAAAGTCTTCTCCTTAGCTTTGGCTCAGTGGATATACATATTTTGAAAAAGGGCTCCTCAACACTTCATTTGAATTTGGATGCCTTCAATCTTGTTGGATTTTAAGAGTTCTTTGTAATTTTTATGCAAGGCCTTTATCCAAATTTGTGTTTTGCAAATATATTCTCCCTGTCATGGCTTATCTTTTCCTTCTATTAACTGTGTCCTTTACAGAGCAGAAGTTTTTAATTTTAATTAAATACAACTTATTAAATTTTGCCTTTCATGCATTGCAAAAAATGAAATAAATATAATCCTGAACACAATTGCCAATGCCATTGCACAGAAGGCATGTAGAAATGTGAAGGCCCAATAGAGAATTTTCTCCCAGCAATATCCTTCCTCGTTTGTACTTCTGGTGACTTTTCCCATGGATGCTACTGTACTGACAACTCTGATTAATCTGACCAACAGGAGCTTGGACCAAATCCATTCAGTTCATTTCAAACAGTATTTAATTAAGGATTCTATCAACAGGACTCCAAACAATAAGATGAAGTCAACCTAAAGTATCAACCTCAGTCATGCCCACCCAAGGTTCCAGATTCAACCAGCTAAAAATCCCATAAACCACCAGAGAGTACTTTAAAAAGCCAATTGGATTTCTCCTTAAGTTTCTTTATTGACCATTCCTCTTTGTCTAAAGTATTAATCCAGATACAGCAAGATTTATTATCAGTTGCACAGATGTTGCCTTAGTCTACAAGAGGAACGGTCAGAGCTCAATTCTGATTTTTCAAAACAGGTCAATATAATCCCTCATCTCTTTTATCCTGATCATTACCCAGGAAGGAGATTATCCCTTTCTTGAAACACCAGCATTCAGTGACCAAATTTCCCTGGTGTGAGGTGTGAGGATAATGAGAAGTTGAGGTAGGTAAGAGTCAGAGATCTTTTTAGTGAAATTTTGAGGAAACTGTTCTAATGCTCAGTAATACCAGATGCCTGTGGATGATAGGGAATGTTGCAGGTCCATCAAATACCTCTACTATCATCCCATACTTGAGTGACTTTTATTATAATAATTGCACCATTGCTAGACTGCAAATGGCCTGGGAAGTCAAACACATGGCACAAATTAGTTTAAGACACCTAATAGTGTGGGCAGAGTCAACTTATTGGACTAGAACAGCAACCCCATAGCTTGAAATAGTGTCAAAATCAGTGTGGCATCACTGATAGCCCTAAGAGAGGGCTAAAGATCTGATGTAGTCAGTCTGCCAAGAGTTTGTACCCTGTGCCAGGTGGATTCCCTCACCTTGAAACAAGTACATCAACTGTGGGCATGTAGTGGTAGCCTCTGCATCTGAAACATACTTTGTGCCCAATCTATGACACTGATCATGTTGCCATGTCCAGCATGATGTTGTATCCAGGCAGCAATCATGGCAGCCTGGACAGCGAGAGCTTGATCAGCTGCTTGATTCTGGGTTGTCTCATAAAAGGGTCTTCACCATGGGCATCTACATGTGTGGCCTAGATAGTTTGATCAGGAGCCTCTATTTGTTTCCACAGTTTGCAGCCCCAAAGAGGAGTGTCTTTAATCTGCTAGTCTGTAGTTTTCCATGTGGGAGACCAAACAGCTAGGCCACTGGTGAAAGCTGCAGAGTCAGAGTATTGCCCACGGAGCAGGGCAAGCAAGTCTGCTTTCGTTTCTTCACAGCTGGTTCTAAGGCTGAACAGCTAGAGCCATCTGCTTCCAAACTAAACCATCAATAAACCAGAGCTAGGAATTCACAATTTTGTGAATTAATGGATTTATTGAGCCAGTAACTTTGCTTCAGGAAATGTAGTGGAGTATAAAGTTTCCCCCAGAGGAATAGCTACCACTCTTCCATGTAAAGCCAAGATGCCACTATGGCAAGGCTTGCTGCCCTTGTGAATATACAATTTCCATTTGGCAAGTAAGACTTTTTAGGCTCTCATCACCTTGTCAGTTTAACAATCTGAAACTTTCAAACCAGAGAATCACAAGGCTTCCATGAGGGCACTGTGTTTGGAAAGTAAGTGAAAAGACATTTTAGCTTTATCTATATTTGAATTTTAATATACTTATGTGATATTTACATTATTAAAAAGTAATAATTTCTTTCATGCTATTACAGTAATCCAAAAGGTATGGTTAGGACCCAAGTTAAGGCAGTTGTGGTTGGCATGAAAAAAGGCAGAATCAATAAAGAGGTTTGTAAGAGATGAGGGGAAAGAAGTCATTAGATTCTAGGTTATAGTTAAAGACATTCAAATTGATGAGAATGTCTAGGGACAATGTATAGGAAAGAGAGAAATAAGATTAACAAGGGAAGACAAATATAGCAAGGAGAATCAGAACTCAAGAGAAAGAGAAGAAAAAGTTAGAGGAGTGAATACCAGATAAATAGTATTATAGATGGCAGTAATAAACAAAGGTACAAGAAAGAAGAAGTAGAAAGCGAGATTAACTACTAAATATCAAAAATTGGAAAGTATGTGTTGAATTCTAAAATTAAGAGATGTCTGCTGATTTTAACATTAAACTAGTCAATAAAGGCGGAAACCAGATAATAATAGATTGAACAATAATTTGAAGGAAGGGTAAATGGATGTAGCAGAGATGAAAAAATTATAGTTTATGAATGAATAAATCTGTAAATTTTGTTTTAGGCTTGTGTTGGTGTGATGCTAGTAGGCCCAACAGGTGGAGGAAAGACAGCAGTCAGAAGAATTCTAGAAAAAGCTTTAATATTTTTACCAGTTGTTGACATCTTACCAAATGAAGAAAGGCTATCTATTTCAAAGGTAATGTTCTGTTAAATAAAATGTATCTCTGTTTTCAGATATCGTTGTGTATACTTCAGTAATGTACATCTTGTTCATTCCTTGTTAAATTTATTGTTGGGGTTTTGTAGTTATGAATCATTGTACTGTATGGGAATTTTTCCCAGTTAAATATTGAAATGCTAATTGCTAGTGCAAAATGAAAGTGTATATTTCTTTTTCATCCAACCATCTTACTGAATGGATGTGTAAGTTCTAATTGTATTTTAGATAGTTGGTGAAAATAATTTTGTCCCTTTTCTAATATTTATATTACTTACTGTTTTCTTGATTAACTCTCCAAGACAATTTTAATTATAATTCCTGTTCCTTACGTTAAGTGGAATGCATTTAATATTTTTTTCATTTAATATGAATGTTTGGTCTTGGTCCCTGATAAATGTTCTATATCATATTTTGGAAATTTTATTCTAGTCTGATAACTCTGTTTTTTGATTGCTAGCATTTATTAAATGATTTTCAGAATTTCTTTTTATCTTTTTATTGGTTAATGTACTAAGTTATGTTGACAGATTTACTGACGTTAAATTGTGCTTGAATTCCTAGAATCATGACCTAATCATAATACATTTTTTCAATTTAAATTAGATTCCAATACATAATATGTATTTCAGTTCTTTTATTTAAAGATTCATTATTGGTAATTTATTCATAAGTCTTAGAAAATCAGATTCATGATTATGTGAAATTTTCTTTTTTCAGTTAGTGTGCAATATCCTGCTTCAAAATCATCAATGTGGTAATCCATAATCCTTTATCTTTTCCTCAGTCTGAACTCCTCTTCTCAACAGGTCTATAATTGGTTCTTGTTGTAATTAATGAGAATTGAATTATTGCAGCAATTATAATAATAACTAATATTTGTGAAGTACGATATATTGGCCAAAACTCAAAAACTCACTGCCGTTGAGTCAGATCTGACTCACAGCGATCCCTCCTTGGGTTTCTGAGTCAGTATCTCGGTGGAAGTAGATTGCTAAACCCTCCTTCCGAGGAGTGGCTGGTGGGTTTGAACCACCAGCCCTCTGGTTATCAGTCAATGCTTTAGGCAGTACGCCACTAGAGCTGCTACGTATTGGCCAAGTACCGTACTAAACACTTGTACTTCAATTGCCTCATTTACCTTCTGGTAAAATGGATTGACACAGTGGCAGGAATGATAGGCTCAAGTGTAAAAACAATTTTAAGGATGGTGCAAGCCCAGGCAGTGTTTCATTCTGTTGTACATAGGGTCACTATGAGTTGAAACTGCCTCTTCGGCACCTAACGACTACAAAAACCTTCACAACAACCCTATGTGCAGAAATTTGTTTTACTTTAAAAAAAAATGCTTTTTAATTACAAAAAAAAAAAAAATAGTATATACTGTTTTCACAACCCATCTCTCAGTTTGTTGTGCTGCGATGGCTTATATTACGTTGCTATGATACTGCAAGCTATGCTGCAAGTATTTCAAATAGCAGCAGGGTCACCCATAGTGAACAAGTTTGAGCAGAGCTTCCAGACTAAAAGATACTGGGGAGGAAAGTCCAGCAATCTACTTCGGAAAGCTAGCCAATGAAAACTTCATGGTTAGCAACAGAATAGTAGCTGATACTGTAATCAATGTTCTACATGTAGGTCTTCTCTTCATTTTTATATTTTCCACTCAATGAATTATTTGAATCAGATTCTGTAGAATTAGGAAAATTACTTTGTTTGTTAATACATTCCATACATTTCAGAAGTATCTCAGTTCCAAACAACAGTATACTCAGTTCCAGTAAACCACACAAAGAAGGCATACTTTCCATTGAATGAATTAGCAATTTTTCAAGTGATATTTAGAGAGAAACAATAACCAAAAAAAAAAAAAACCTCTGGATTATTTTCTTTTAGAATTTTTGCATGCTTAATTTAAGTATTTCATTTCTTCAAAGCATTATTTTCATCATACAAATAAAATGACACCTATTAATATACATAAAAGATGTTGAAAAAGAACAACTCAGTTACCTATAGAAAATCTCAGTTAACACATTATGTGTTCTCCAAAGACTTAAATATGCACACACATATTATTTTTGTCAAAAAATGTAGTCATAGGATATAATAGTGTTTAATAACCTACCATCATTTATTTAATCAGTCTTCCAATTATTGGACATTGAGAATGTTTCAACTAATCTCTTAATTTTGGCATTTGAGTTCTTCTAAGACATTTGACTGCTAACCCGAAGGCTGGTGGTTCAAGCCCACCAACCACTCCTCGGAAGGAAGATTGGGCAATCTAATTCCATAGAGATACTGCCTTGGAAAACCAAGGAGGGGTCACTAAGAGTCAAAATCGACTCGACAGCAGTGAGTTTGGTTTGGTTTGGGGAATTATTACAAAAAAAAAAAGCAAAAATGCTTATAGATGGCTGAAAACAAAATGAAAATAAAAGAAAAATGTTGAACTGTTCTGAAATAAAGACTAGCATTCTTAAAAAGCACAAAAGTTAGCAAAATCAACTGAAAATACACCCAAATTATCAACTCACATAACTAGAAATATTAAGAAAAACTTGTCATTTAGGCTTAATTGCAGTGTTAACCAATTTTCAAAAATACTAAAATGCTCTTTGGCAGACTTTCCTGCCACACCTCCAACTCCTGACACATTCCAGTTATCCTTTCAGTTTGCTGTTGCCCACTCTTAAAATTCCAGTGTGTCTCATTGCTCTAAGTACCCATCTATATCAAAGAACCAGAGCTTTTTGGAAAAATGGATGCTTCTATATCTGAAAAACTGAGCTTTAACATCTTATTATACAGGATAGAAAGGGAGATTACTGGGGTGATATTGAAAGGATTCCAGATCTGCCTTGAAAGAGGAACTCAATGGCTAAACAGGGAATGATTTGAGCATTAAAAAGTGAATAGATACAGCTTTCAGCAAGTCTCCAGTAAGTTTCCAGCAAGCCTCCAGCAAACAAAGTTGTGTCATCTGTATATCCCACATTTCTAATGAGTCTTCCTCCAATCCTGATGCCGTGTTCTTCTTCATATAGTCTAGCTTCTCAGATTATTTGCTCAGTGTACAGATTGAATAATTATGGTGAAAGGATACAATGTTGATAGAGAACTTTCCTGATTTTAAACCATGAAGTAGCCACTTGTTCTGTTTGAATGACTGCCTCTTGGTTTATGTACAGGTTCCTCATGAGCACAATTAAGTGTTCTGGAATTCCCATTCTTCACAATGGTATTCATAATTTGTTATGATCCACATAGTCAAATACCTTTGCATAGTCAATAAAATACAGGTAAAGAATTATTTGGTATTCTCTACTTTCAACCAAGATCTGTTTGACATCAGCAAAGATATCGCTCATTCTACATTCCTTTCTGAATCTAGCTTAAATTTCTAGCAATTCCCTTTTGTTGTACTGCTGTGACTGTTTTTTTTTAATTATTTTCATCTATATTTTACCTGCATGTGATATTAATGATATTGTTCATGAATTTCTGCCTTCTGTTGGATCACCTTTCTTTGGAATGGGAATATGGATCTCTTCCAGTCAGTCAGCCAAAATAGCTGTCTTCCAAATTTCTTGGCATAGACAAGGGAGCACTTATAGTATTGCATCCATTTATTGAAATATCTCAGTGGTTATTCCATCAATTCCTGGAGCGTTGTTTTTTTTTGTTTGTTTGTTTGTTTGGTCAGTGCCTTCAATCCAGCTTGGACTTCTTCCTTTAATACCATTGGTTCTTGATCATATGCTACCTCCTAAAATGGTTGAATGTTGACCAATTCTTTTTGGTACAGTGACTGTGTATTCCATCATCTTCTTTTGATGCTTCCTGCATCATTTAATATTTGCCCATAGAATCCCTCAATCTCTCAATATTACAACTCAAGGCTTGAGTTTTTCTTCAGTTCTTTCAGTTTGAGAAATGTTGAGTGTGTTCTTCTCTTTGCTTTCCTAACTTTTGGTATTTGCATATTCATTATAATACTTTACTTTGTCTTTTTGAGTCACCCTTTGAAATCTTTTTTTATTTCATCATATCTTTCATTCACTTTAGCTACTCTCTGTTCAAGAAGGAGTTTCGGAGTCTTTTCTGACATCCATTTTGGTCTTTCTTTTTCCTGAGTTTTTAATGAGCTTTTGTTTTCTTTATATTTTATGTCCTTGATGTCTTTAGTTTCACCTTACTTAATGAAAAATTACAGTACCTATAAATATCAAGTTTGAGAAATGATTCCAAAGGCTGCTTACATGAGTTTAGTTAAGTTTTACATTTGATCATTGTAAGTGATGAAAATAGAAATAGCAAGTTTCTGAAAGTACAGGAAGGTGAGAAACATTTTATTACATAAAAATTTCATTTTATATTTGGGCCTGAGTGTATGCTAATGATATCAAAGTTGAAAATATTACAAAAGTTTTTTTGAGGGAAGAATAGAAATTGTTTTGGCTCATGATTTTCATAGAAAATGAAAATGATCCTCAAGAAAGGTACAAACTTTCCCAAACATCATGCTTCCCATTTAAATTGGGATTCTTCAGTAAAAGCATAATTAATATTTATTGACAAGTGCTGGGAAATCAAATCAATTCTCCATCTCTGACCAAATGTGAGGATCAAATAAGTGCAGTCTGTTATCAATTCTGTTCTCCTCTGTTTAGACATCAGCTATATATGCAGTGCTTCTTCCTCTGACCCAACCACCTGGAGTTATGTCAGATCTCACAAGCTAAGAGGCACGATTCTCCAGATTGCCAAGTGTTCCCAAGACCTCACATGCCAGCCACAAGCTTGCAAGTCCCCATGACACTCACTTCTGACTTACTGGCTACAGTGTTTGGGTTTCCCAACTATCCATTCAAGACGCCAGCCATAAGCTCAGGGTTTCCCATGACCCCCTGCCTACTTCTAACCTCCTGGCTCCTACGACTCCCTCAGGTTTGATAATTTGCTAGAATGAATCACAGAACTCAGGAGAGTACTATATTTGTGATCATAGCTTTATTATAGCAAAGAGGATAACAAATGAAGTAGTGTACAGGGTGAAGTCTGTGAGGATTCCCAAAAGGAATGCATTACTTCCCCCCACCATATGCATGCATACACATGCACACATCTATGATGTCTGTCACCAACCAAGAATCCCATGGAGCTTTCATGTCCACAGCCTTTACTGGGGCTTTACTCCAAAGGCATTATTGATTGAATCATGTCCTCCCCTCTCTGAGGTCAACTGATATCACACAGTGATATTTCTGGCCTAGCCAATCACCACCCAAGAGCCACCTACCTATCATAAATTCTCAAGTGTGGTCTGGAAGCCTTATCAATCACTGGAGAAATTCCAAGATTTAGAGGTTGTGTCTCAAGAACCGAGGACAAAGACCAAATTCTTTGGGTGAAGTTAAATTCTTTACCCCACACCAAGTGAACATATTATTTTTCAGAGATTTTTATAATGGTTGGTAGATTTTATACCATTTGGAATTATTTCACTATAGTTAAGAGGAATTTTATCTTTAGTGCCAATTCTGACATGAAGCTTAATACTACCCACCACCAGCCACTCATCAGAAGGAAGATTGAGCAATCACTACTTACGTGGTGATGTTGTTGTTGTTGTTGTTGTTTGCCGTCGAGTCGGCCCCGACTCATAGCGACCCCTCCTTGGGTTTCCGAGGCAGTATCACTACGGAAGTAGGATTGCCCAACCTTCCTTCCGAGGAGTGGCTGGTGGGTTTGAACCGCCTGCCTTCTGGTTAGCAGTCAAGTGCCTTAGCCACTAATACCGTCTCGGAAACCCAAGGAGGGGTCCCTATGAGTTGGATCCAACTCAACAGCAGTGAGTTTAATTTTTTTGGTGTGACTCTACCTTACTTCTTCTATATTCAACTCTGGGTCCACATACACCAAATACCAGCTCATATATTGTGTTCCTTAATCAGGCACAATGAATTTTTTTTTCCATTTTATTCTGAGGGTATAATTGTAGTATTTCTAATTTTTCAAAATAATTATGTGTGTATTATAGCTAAGTTTAATAAGACAATGTTTACTGTTCCTTGCAAATTGCCATCTATATAGAGAATCTTTCTTTGGAGTGAAAGACATTGCTTAAAATGCTTTGATAATAACAATGTGAAAACAAACAAATAATTGTACTATAGTTAATGCCTTTAAAAACTAAAGCGGATTTTTTCAGATTCCAGGAAGAAAAGGAAAAGTAGATATTTGTGTTATAAATCCAAAGTGTATCACTCTTAATGAACTCTATGGACAACTGAATCCTAACACAATGGAATGGACTGATGGGTTATTATCAGCAACAGTTCGAAATTATGTACATTTTAACACTAAAAGTCACTCAAAGAAAGACCTGACTCTTGAATTAAAGTTGAGAATCTCAGACTTATCTAATGTAAGTTTAGTATGTAATGAGTGTTTTTATTTGACTCGTGGAATATTTAATTGCTTATCCAAAAAGTTAATAATAAAACATCATTAGATACTAGTGTAAAGGTAAATTTTAAAAGTATTATGAACAGTTTAAAAAAGAAAAATTAAAGCTATCAAAAGACAAAAGTATGCTATTGAATTTTAAAATGGTTAGTAAACAATAGAATGAAATTAAATATATTTGCTTTTAAATGAACACAGAATCAAATAAGTATAACTGGAGAATTATATCTAGATCAATAACACTGTCAGCACCAATATACCAACATACAGGGGATAAAATGTTGATAGACCTAATTTTCCCCAATAAAATGTGCTCAAACATTTTGGTCTCTACTATTTTCACTATAACAAAATAACAAATAAAAATAAATAGAAAACTCAGAAACAGCTCATTATGCCTGGGTCAACACTGTATTCTTTGTTTCCAAGGGCATGAGTGCTTACAGTTATAGTTTTATTTTTCTAATATTACATGTAATCACAGATATAAATGCTTCAAGTTTGATTGAAATTAATTTTGTGGTATTTGGGAAAGAATATAAAGTTTCACAGTGAGCATTATGATTTCCAATTGTTTTTTCCTTGATTACATTTCTGAGTTTATGGATTTGAATTTATAATAAACTAGGTTGGGCAATCTACTTCTGTAGTGACACTATCTTGGAAACCCAAGGAGGGGTCGCTGAGTTGGGTCCGACTCAATGGCACATAACAACAACAACAGGAATATATAATTTAAACAGTATTTATAACACAGAAATGTGCATACAGAAATATAAGTACCATTCAAATATGCTCATATTTCACACACAGCCCCTCAGTTAAAATACTGCTCTTCCCTGATTAAAAATTATAGAGTAGAAGATGAAACTAGTTTATTACATGAAAATAAAAACCACCTATGCAGATTAACAGCAGTTCTATTGGGGCATTGGTTAAAGCATTTGGCTGCTAACCAAATGATTGGTGGTTCAAACCCACCAGTTGCTCTGCAGGAGAAAGATAAGGTGGTATGCTTCTATAAAGATTTACGGCCTTGGAAAACCCTATGGGACAGTTCTACTCTGCCCTAAAGGATCATTATGAGTCAGAATCAATTTGATGGCAGTGGGTTTGGTTTTTTTTGTTTAATGTGGAGTAACACATCAAGAACAAAATGGACAAAGACAGTCTGGGAATATGCTTGCAACACATATGAAAAATATATAAATATTTCTTACAAATTAATGAGGTAAAAATGCTTCCAAAGAAAATGAATAAAGTATTTAATACAAATTCATCAATGCATAAATATGAATGGCAAAATAATTTTTTACATTTTTTAATTGTTATTATTGCACTTTAGGTGCAAGTTTACAGAGTAGAATTTGTTTTACATTCAACATTTTGTGTACATTTGGTTTCTTTCCCCAGTTACTATCCCCAACCCTAACCTACTCTCCTCCCCTTCCTGCCCAGTAACACACACACACACACACACACACACACCCATGCCCCTCATATTATGCACTCCTATATGTCCTGCATTTCCTCTGTGTGAATATTACCCCTGTGGTGCCCCATGGTCAATTGCTCCAAGGGATGCAATTCCATAGAGTATGTGGGTGCGTCACCCTGGGTTGAATGGTCTGCAAATATGTTTTGTTTACTATTGGGCTAAGAGCCAGCCCCTGGGAGTGAGTTTTATTCCAGGCCCTAAATGTATCCCAGGGCCATAGTATTGAGGGTCCCACTAGAGTCCATCCAACCAGTAATTCTGGTCCTTATTTTGTTTTTGAATTTTGTTCCAAATTTTTCCTTCCACTCTGTCCAGGATCTTCAGTTTTGATCCTTTCCTGAGTGGTTGGCATTGGTACCTAGGCACCATCTAGTTCTTCTGGTCTCGAGTTCCATCATGTCCTAGGGTTGATTGCTTCCAAATGCCCTTGGGGTTTTTTGTTTGTTTGTTTGTTTTTTGCACTCTTCACTCCAAGCAATAGGAGACCATTAGCTGCATCCTGGATGGCCGCTTGAAAGCTACTCACCAATGTAGGCTGTGGAACAAGATTTTTATGTATTTTATTGTGCCAATTGAGTCTGGTGTCCCCTAATACTATGGTCCTGTGTTAGTAGATCCATTGGATCTCTCTCCCACAGTGTCTGGCTTTCTGTGAGGGGTTGCTCTGTGTCTGTCTTCTGTTGTTTCTGTAAGGATTGTGGGTAGTTTGTATCACTCGTATCTGTGCAAGATTACCCTCAACTGAATCTATCCTTGGTCTAGAATATAATCTTGTTCACTGATCCTAAGCTGATCTACTTAGATGTTTATGTGTTTATCTGTAGCCTAGTGTTTGGTATTAATGGTAATGCAGTATTCTGGATATACTGGTATTAGCTTCTGTTGTCTATATTTTATGTGCAGAATTTGATGTCCTACCTTTCCCCAATGTTATCATGCTGGTCACAAATTCTTTCCATACCATCCCTCCCCTTACCCACCTCGGTGTGTGGCCCCCAACTAACCCAAAATTATTACCTCCCCTTCCTCCCCATCTGGTAACCTAGTGAGTTCCATTCCTTAAGCAAACTCTTCCTTGTCTTTTTACAGTAATGGGCTCATACAATATTTGTTCTTCTGTGATTGACTTATTTCACTCAGTATAATGTCCTCCAGGCTCATTCATTTTGTGAGATGATTCACGTATCCTTCATTGTTTTTTAATGTAGCATAATATTCCATTGTGTGAAGGTGTCATAGTTTGGTTTTCCAATCATCTGTTGATGGGCATTTAGGTTGTTTCCATCTCTTTGTTGTAGTGAATTGTGCTGCAATGAACATGTGTGTGCATATGTCTGTTTGTATCCTGTCTCTCACCTCTTTAGGATATATTCCTAGTATTAGAATTACTGGGTCAAATGGTATTTCTATTTTCAGTTTTTTAAGGAAACCCCATGCTGTCTGCCACCATGGTTGTACCATTTTACAATCCCATCAGCAGTGTATGAGTTCCAATCTCTCGGCAACCTCTCCAGTGTTTGTTATTTTCTGTCCCGTTGAACTTTGCTATTATTGCTGGGATGAGATGATATCTCATCATTGTTTTGATTTGCATCTCTCTAATGACTAAAGATCATGAGGTTTCCTCATGTGTTTGTTGGCCACCAGCATATTGTCTTTAGTGAAGTGTCTGTCAAATCTCTTGCCCATTTTTAAATTGGATTGCTTGTCTTTTTGGTGCTGGGTATTGAAGTTTTGGAGATAAGTCTTTTGTCAGATATGTCATAGGAAAATATTTTTTCCCCATCTGTAGGTTCTCTTTTTACCCTTTTTGAGGAAGTCTTTCGATGTGCATAAGAATTTAATTTTTAAAAGGTCCCAGTCATCTAGCTTCTCTTCTACCTCCTGTGCATTCTGCGTTATGCTCGGTAGTCTATTTAGGCCATAAATTAAGGCCCCTAGATTTGCTCCTATGTTATCTTTGATGAATTTTTTATTTTTTAATTTTTTTTTCTGATTGATCCTTTTCCAAAGAAGTATTCAGGTATTTGTCTTCAATCTCCTTAATTCTGTCTTCCATTGCATCAATTCTACTTCAGTTTGTTTTTTGTGTCTGGGGTAAGGAATGGGTCTTGTTACATTTTTCTGCAAGTGGATATCCAGTTTTGCCAGCACCATTTGTTAAAGAGGCTGTCTCTACCCCATTTAATGGGTTTTGGACATTTGTTAAAGATCAGTTGTCCATAGATGGATGAGTCTATTTCTGGATTTTTGATTCTGTTCCTTTGGTCTATCTGTCTATCATTGTACCAATACCATGCTGTTTTGACTACTGTGGCTGTATAGTAGATTTTAAGATCCAGGAGTGTGGGACCTCTCACTTTCTTCTTCTTCAGTAGTGCTCTGTTTATCCAAGGTCTCTTTCCCTTCCATATGAAGTTAGTAATTGTTTTTTCCATATCCTTATAAAATTTTGTTGGTATCTGGATCAGAATTGCATTAAATGTGTAGACTGCTTTTGATAGTATTGACATTTTCAGAATATTCAGTCTTCCTATCAATGAACAAGGCAGATTCTTCCATTTATGTAGAGCCCTTGTTGTTTCCTATAGTAATGCTTTATAGTTTTCTTTGTATAGATCTTTTGTGTCTCTGGTAAGATTTATTCCTAGATATTTTATCTTTTTAGTAGCTATTGTAAATGGTATTGTTTCCTTATTTCTTTTTCAGAGGTCTCCTCATTGGTGTAGAGGAATCCAAGTGATTTTTGTATGAACCTTGTATCCTGCCACTTTGCTGAACCTCTCTATTAGTTTCAGTAGGTTTTTTGCTGAGTCTCTTGGGTTTTCTATGTATAGGATCATGTCATCTGCAAATTGAGATAGATTTACTTCCTTTTTGCTGATTTGGATGCCTTTTATTTCTCTTTCTTGCCTTATTGCCCTGACCAGGACTTCCAGTACAATGTCAAATAAGAGTGGTGATAGAGGACATCCCTGTCTGGTTCCTGTTCATAAGGGGAATGCTTTGAGTCTTTCTCCATTAATAATGATGTTTGCCCTTGGTTTTGCATATATGCTCTTTATTGTGTTGAGGAATTTCCCTTCTATCCCTATTTTGCTGAGAATTCTGAACAGGAACAGCTGTTGGATTTTATCAAATGCCTTTTCTGTGTTGATTGATATAATCATATGGTTCTTTTGTTTTGTTTATATGATGGATTACATTGATTGTTTTTCTGATGTTGAACCATCCTTGCATACCACGTATAAATCCCACTTGGTCAGGATGTATTATTTTTCTGATATAGTGTTGGATTCTGTTGGCTAAGATTTTGTTGAAGATTTTTGCATCTATGTTCAATAGGGATATTGGTCTGTAGTTTTCCTTTTTAGTGGTGTCTTTCCCTGATTTTGGTATCAGTGTTATGCTTGCTTCATAAAATGAGTTTGGGAGTATTCCATCTTTTTCTATGTTCTGGAATAGCCTCAGTAGTATAGCTATCAACTCTTCCCTGAATATTTGGTAAAATTCTGTAGTGAAGCCATCAGGGCCAGAAATTTTTCCTGTGGGAAGTTTTTTATGACCTGTTCAATTTATTCCTTTGTTATGTGTCTGTCCAAATATTCTCTCTCTGACTGGGATAGTTTAGGTAGGTATTGTGATTCCAGAAGCTTGTCCATCTCTTCTAGGTTCTCACATCTGTTGGAGTATAATTTTTCATAATATTCTGTCAGTATCTTTTTTATTTCAGTTGGTTCTGATGTGATGACACCTTTTTCATTTACTATTCTTGTAACTTACATCTTCTGTTTCTTTTTGTTGTTGTTGTTGTTAGATTTGCCAATGATTTGTCAATTTTGAAGAACGAGCTTCTTGTTTTGTTGATTTTCTCTATTATTTTTTGTTTTGTTTTGTTTTCTGTTTCATTTAGTTCTGCTCTGATCTTTATTATTTCCTTACTTCTGGATAATGTAGGATTCTTTTAGTGTTCTTTTTCTAATTGTTGGAATTGTTGCATTAGAGTGTGGATTTTGTTTCTTTCTGCTTTTTTGATTCATGCATTTATTGCTATAAACTGATCTCTGAGTAATGCTTTCACTGTGTCCCATAGGTTTTGGTAAGATGTATCTTCATTCTCATTTGTTTCTAGGAATATTTTTATTTCACATTTTATTTCTTCTATTACCCAGTAGTTTTTGAGCAGTGAATTGTTCAGCTTCCACATTTGATGTTTTTTCCTTGATCTTCCTATTATTAATTTCTACTTTTATAACACTGTGGTCCAGGAAGATACTTTGTAGTATTTCAATGTTTTTTAATTTATTGAGGCTTGTTTTATGTCCTAACATATGGTCTATTCTGGAGAATGATCTATGTGCGCTGAAGAAGAATGTGAATTGTGCATTTGTTGGGCGGAATGCTCTGTATATGTCTGAGATTGAGTTGATTATGTTGTTGAGTTCTTCTGTATCTTTGTCGAGTTTTTTTCTAGTTAATCTTCTCTAAGGTCTAAGGTTGTGTCTAAGGTTGGTCTTTTGTAGCCAGCATATCAATGGGTCTTATTTTCTTATCCATTCTGACTCTCTCTTTCTCTTGATTGGTGCATTTAGTCCATTCACATTGAGTGTAATTAGTGATAGATATGAATTGATTGCTGTCATTCTATTTGTTTTTTTGTCATGTTGCTGGAGTTTCCTTGGTCTGTATACTTTTCTGTGCTGAGTTCATTTTGTTGTCAATGTTTCCTCTCTTTTCTTCTTTATTGTTGGTTTTGTGGTTAGTAAACCCATATGTTTTTCTTCCTTCTTGGTTTGCTTAGGGGGATTGTTAATCTTCTCTGCGGTTACCTTGGCATGAATTCTTGTCTCTATATTTTTGGAACAGTCTGTTCTATGAGGACCCATTGTCCTGTTTTCCTCTCCATTTGGAAGTTTTGAACCTAGAACTTTTATTCCCTCTCTTTGATTAGTTGTTGTTGTCATGTGCAGATTGACTCCCTTGATATTTAGACAATGTTTTATGGTCTTATTTTGAGTGTCTATTTCTGATTTGGTTTTAGTGTTGATGTCACATGTCCTGATTTTGTTGTTCTCTGTTGTGGGTTCTCTATTGGAAGGACTTTCTCAATCATTTCTTGTAGGATTGTTCTGGTTTTCACAAAAATCCCTTAATTTTTGTTTGTCTGACAACATCTTGATTTCACCCTCATATTTGATGGACAAGTTGTTGGATATAGGACTCTTGGTTGGAAGTTCCTTTCCTGCAGTGTTTTATATATGCTGTCCCATTGCTTTCTTGCCTGCAAGGTTTGTGCTGAGTAATCAGAGCTCAGCCTAACTGTTTGATTATTATAAGTAGTTTTTTTTTTTTTTTTTCTGTCCTGGGCAGCTTGCAAGATTCTTGCTTTGTCTTTGGTTTTGGAGAGTTTGATTATGATATGCCTCAGTTTTTTTCTTGGGATCTCTCCTGTATGGAATTCTTTGAGCTTCTTAGACAAATATCTTTTCTTCCTTTTTGATATTGGGAAACTTTTCTGTTAGTAAGTCTTCCACAATTTTCTCAGTGGTTTTTTTCACCTCTTCTTGTTCTAGAATTCTAATAGGCCGTATGTTGTTTCTCTTCATGTCTTCCCATATAACTCTTAGGTTCTCTTCATTTATCTTAAATCTTTGTTCCAATTTTTCTTCATACAGGCTGGTGTCCAGGGATTTAACTTCTAGTTGGGAAATATGTTCTTCAGCCAGTTCTATCTTATTTTTTGCTTTCACTGTACTGTGTAATTCTATAATTTTGGTATTAGTCTTCTGGATTTCTAACTGCTGCTTTTGTATGAGTTCTGATTTTGTATTAATCTTGTTATTTAGTTCTTGAATGGTTTTCCTGAGTTTTTCCAGGGTACCATCTGTGTTCTCCTTGATTCTGTTTGGGATTTCCTTAAGCTCTGATAGAATTCTATAAACATACCTTCTAAATTCCTTCTCAGATAATTATATTGCCTCCTCTTCCTCCATGTTTAATGAGACTTTTGTTTGGGATTTTATTTCTATTGTCTTATCCTATTTTTTTGTTTGATTTGAGGTTGCCTGTTGTTTCCTAACCATTTTGAAGTTGTCTTTAATGGTCAGTTGTGTATTGATTTGTTTTGTCTTGGTTTTATGATTTATGATTTTTGGAAATGTGGAGCTGGTATATTTTATTTATTTATTTATTTTTATTTTTTGGTTATTAATTCAGGTGTTCTGGGTTGCTCTGCAGTTTTCTTTGTGATGATGGAATCATCGTGTGAAATGTGGATGCAGTTCATCATGAAGGGAGTTTAGGATTTGAGCTGACAGGTGTTGTGATGGCTTAATGTGGTTTTTCTATTGGATGAGGCAAGGGAGACGTGGGGAACAGAGGAAGAAAAGAGGGGGAAAAAAAACAAAAGCTCCAGGTGCCAGTAGCCATTTCCAGGGCTTTGAGTATGCTGCTAATGATGATTCTATACTGTTACTCACAGTTCCACAGCTCAAGTTCTGCAAAGACTCCAATTGTTAGGGGGCTGCTGCTTTCTGCCAGGTTCAAACAGCAGCAAAAAACCTACTCTCTCCAGGCCTCTCTGTGCCCTGATCTGTGAGTTCATCCCAGGGCCCACCCTCTTGCAGCGTGATTACCCTCTCTGCTCCTGATTCAGTGGCACCCATGACCTGGAGTCACAAGTCAACTACATTATATGTTGGTTATGTGTTGATCATTTCAGCTACAAAACTTTCTGCTTTTCATATTCTTGCCACTCATGAAAGCACATTGATATATAGTGAATTTGAGTTGAAAAGTGTCATCAAGTAAAAGTTTAAAAATTATTAATTACATGTTTTAGGTTTTCAAACTTGATTCCTCTGATGCAGCAGATATTGTGAATAATATTTGTGAGAAGGAGATAGATAAAGCTGTTAAAACTCCAGAAGATCAGAGTAAGTATTACTATAAAATTCACTAACTATGATTAAATAATATAGAAGACAAACTTTGAACAAATATGAGCCAATTCCTATCTTTAAAATACATTTTTGGTTGGTGATATTTTATTCTTGTACTATTTTTCCCTTGTATGTTTATTTAAAACCTCTATAGGAGTTCTAGAGGCATAGTGGTTAAAACTTCAACTGCTAGCCAAAAGGTCAGCAGTTCGAACGCATCAACTGCTCTGCAAGAGAAAGATAAGGCAGGCTGCTTCCATACAACCTTGGAAACCCTATGGAGCAGTTCTACTCTATCCTACAGGGTCGATATGAGTCTAAATTGACTCGATGGTAGGGGATTTGATTTGGTTTTGGTTTCATAGTATTACCAAATATTATACTACATATGTATGTAATTAATTGTGTTATATAAATACTAGGGCTTACATAGCCCTTTTAGTTTACAAATGACCATTAGTATCTCATATTAACATTCCTCATATGCAAATTTAATTTGAAGCTGAAGAAAACTAAAACAAGTCCATGAGAGCTGAAATACAACCTTGAATATATCCCACCTAAACTTAAAGACCATCTCAAGAATACACTTGATGCATTGGACACCAATGACTGGAGTCCAGATGAGTTGTAGGATGACATCAAGAACACCATATGTGTAGAAGCAAAAGGTAATTCAAAGGACAAGAAGGAAAGAAAAGACCAAAATGGATGTCAGAAGCTATTCTAAAACTTGCTCTTGAATGGAGAGCAGCTAAGCAAATGGGAGAAACAGTGAAGTAAAAGAGCTGAACAACAGATTTCAAAGGGCAGCTTGAGATGGCAAAGTATTCAAATGAAATGTACAAAGAACTGTAGCTAGTAAATCAAAAGGGAAGAACACACTTGACATTTCTCATGCTGAAAGAACTGAAGAAAAATTCAAGCCTCAAGTTGCAATTTTGAAAAAGTCTATGGTCAAAGTATTGAATAATGCAGGAAGTATCAATAGAAGATAGAATGAATACACAAAGTCATTCTACCAAAAAGAATTGGATGACATTCAGCAATTTCAAGAGACAGCATATGATCAAGAACTGAAGGAAGAAGTCCCAGCTGCACTGAAGGCATTGGCAAAAAAAAAAAAAAAAAAAGGCTCCAAGAATTGACAGAACACCCATTGAGATGTTTCAACACATGGATGCAACACTGGAAGACCTTACTCATTTATGCCAAGCAATTTGGAACCACAGCTGCATGGCCATCTACCAGGAAGAAGTACATACTTGTGCCTATTCCAAAGAAAAGTGATCCAAAAGAATGCAGAAATTATCGAATAATGTTATTTATATCACACACAACTAAAATTTTTTCTGAAAATAATTTTAAAAATAGTTTTATCAGTATATTGACAGGGAACTGCTAGAAATTTAAACCAATTTCAGAAGAGGATGTGGAAGGAGAGAGAACGTTGCTGATGTCAGATGTATTTTGGCTATAAGCAGAGAATACTAGAAAGATGTTTACCTGTGTTTTATTGATTATACAACGGCATTCGGTAACATTGTGAAGAATGGAAATTCAGACCAATTAACTCTGCTCATAAGGAACATGTACCTAGACCAAGAAGCAGCCTTTTGACAGAACAAAGGGATTCTGCATGGTTTAAAATCAGGAAAAGTGTATGTCTGGGTTATGTCCTTTCCCCATACTTATTAAATCATAATGCTAAGCAAATAATCCAAGAAGCTAGACTATATGAAGAAGAACTCAGCATTAGGATTGGAGGAAGACTCATTAACAACCTGAGATACACAGAGGACACACATTGCTTGCTGAAAGTGAAGAAGACTTGAAGCACTAACTGATGAAGATCAAAGACTACAGCCTTCAGTATGGATTACACACGAACATAAAGACAATAGAAATCCTCACAACTAGACTAATAAGCAACATCAGGATAAATGGAGAAAAAGATTGAAGCTATCCAGGATTTCATTTTATTTGGGTACACAATCAATGGCCATTGAAGCAGCAGTCAAGAAATCAAGTGACATATTGCATTGGGAAAATCTGCTGCAGAAGGCTTATTTAAAGAGCAAAGATGTCACTTTGAAGACTAAGGTGCACCTGACCCAAGCCATGGTATTTTCAGTAGCTTCACATGCATGTGAGAGGTGGACAATGAATAAGGAAGACCACAAAAGAATTGAAGCATTTGAATTCTGGTGTTGGCAAAGACTATTGAACATACCATGGACTGCCAGAAGAATGGACAAATCTGTCTCGGAAGAAGTATAGCCAGAATACTCATTAGAAGCAAGAATGCCCAGACTTTATCTCTCTTACTTTGGTTGTGTTATTAGAAAGAACCAGTCCCTGGAGAAGGATAACATGCTTGGTAAAGCAGTGGGTCAGTGGAAAAGAGGAAGACCTTCAACAAAAGGGATTGATACAGTGGCTAAAACGATGGGCTCAAGCATAGTAACAATTGTGAGGATAGTAGAGGACTGGGTAATGTTCCGTTCTGTTGTATATAAGGTCACTATGAATCAGAACTGACTCAACAACATCTAACAACAACAGCAATATCTCATTAGAACTAGTTCAATATTAAAGATATAAATAAATAATAGTTTGAGAAGCAGCAGTGGCAACATACAATAGGATTCCTCTGGAGTGGGTCTCTATACAGCCTGTACATTCTTAGGCCAAATCATCAAATAAACCCTAGTAGATTCATCTAAAATTGATTGCACACCCATTATATATTAGTCAGTTTACTATGTGCCAGGGCACAGAGAATGTGTATGACATGGTGCCTGCTCCATAAAGAATCACCAACCATTACTTTCAGTACTTTAGGTTGAACCTCATATCAACACACTGGCCAATAGTACATTGGTATTCCAGACATTGAAAGATACTTCTGCAGCTGCTTCTTTCTTAGAATTCCTGAACTTTGAGGTGTAATTTTTTTTTTTTTTTTTTTTTTTGGCCATTCAATTGAGAGATGACAGTAATTGAACAAAATAAGTTTTCTTCATGGGACTTTAATACAATTTCCACAGTAGGATTTTCAACCAGTCAGAGTCCCATCTCAGCAGTTGTGACTATATGGATCCCACTTCTACTGTCATGTTCTTCTGGCAGGTTCTTTTTCGAGGTGATTAACTATCCTCTGCCTGTGCAATGACCCATTCACATCTTCCCTGTGCAGTCCCAGTAGATTTTTCTAAAATCATGGAGCAGGTTGGTGGTTGTAGAGTGTGGCAAAAGGAATAAATGGGTTCCCAGTATGAAACTCTAAACTCTTGTCTTTTCAATTCTTTCCTCAAAGGGGTATCTATTTCTCTTTGCTATATCCTGGGGCAGCATCTCCAAAATAATATTCCTGGGTGGAAGGAGCAAATTCACAAACCATACTCTTAAGGAAAAGAGAATGTCAAGGATCTTTCTTCTAAACTAATTTTATGGACTAGTTTTACAATTCAGCAATCAAAAACTATCTCGACATTACTTAAAAAGTTATTAAGTAGAGCCTGGTTAAACTCCTGAGACTATTCCCCTAGCTACCCTTCAGGTCTGGAATTGAACTCATTCCTGTGGCTTCCAGCCAAATAAAAGACTGGCATATGGGCTGAACATTTACATCAGGTAGCTACACTCCTTGGAGAGATCAATCATAGGAGAACAGAGGGCAGTGTTTGCCATTCGGGAGGCAGGAGTGCATGCAAGGGAAGGAAACAAGGAAGAGGTAACTGTAGGGAGGAAGTGGGAAGAGAGCTGTTATATTGTGGGAAATTGAAATCAATGTTATGAGACAAAATATGTATGACCTGCTGTATGGAAAATGAAATTCTCTGTAAACTTTCACTCAAATCACAATAACTTTTTTTAAAAAAAAGTTATTAAGTATATGGTATGAATATTCATGTTTAATACCAGAGAATACTAACACATTCACTCTAGTGTTTTCTAGGAGATCATTTTTCATCTTAAGTTAGAAAGTGTTCTCTAAATAGAATATGTACATGATTGTAATACAATTATTCTCAGCTACATCAAAATTTTTTTTCCCCAGATTTTGATTGGCAGTGGATTATTTTAGATGGTCCAGTGGATACCTTGTGGGTGGAAAATCTAAACACCGTGCTAGATGAAAGTAGAACATTTTGCCTAGCAAACAGTGAGAGAATAGCTTTAACTAATAGAATAAGAATGATTTTTGAAACAGACAGCCTGTCTCAGGCTAGTCCTGCCACTGTCAGCCGATGTGCAGTGGTCTATATGGTAAGTGTCTAATATCAAATTTCATAACATAAAATGTGCTGTTTGGGATAATGTATTATCAATATAATTTTTTATGTTTATTTTTACTTCTGAATTCAGGAGAGTGAAACCAATAGTCCAGAATGTGTGCCCCATAAAGCCTCATAACTCTGAAATGAATATGAGTATAATTACAACTGTTTTTGAAACCCAAGGGGCAGTTCTACTCTTCCCTATAAGGTCGCTATAAGTTGGAATCAACTAGATGGCAGTGTTTGTTTGTTTTTAAGTAATTGGAGTGGTCAATATTTTCTACAACTGTGAATAAGTAAGGATGTCTGGTGGTGAAGTGGATAAGGCACTTGGGTGCTAACCAGAAGGTCAGTGGTTCAAACCTACCAGCTGCTCTGCAGAAGGAAGATGGGGCAACCTACTCCTGTAAAGATTTCCAGCCTTGGAAACCCAATGAGGATCGCTGTGAGTTGGAATTGACTTGATGACAGTGAGTTTGGGTTTTTTGGTGGATAAGTAATGCTTTCAACAGACAGGTTAGGCTGCTGGTGTGAATTTTTTTCATCACTCTTGTAACTAGGTCATAGATAAAACAAAAATAAGTGTTTTCTGTACAGAAAATTATTAGTCATGATTAGCCTTTTGCTCTAGTCTATTTAACTAAATGTGGTAAATAAAATGAACTATAGGGCTGAACCCTCTAGGTACACAGTTCCCCTTACCACATACCCAAGTGTTCAGTACACCTCCCTATACAGAACCCCCAATTGCATGTTTTCTTGTAGGAAAGACCACAGTTAAAAATGATTAATCATTCTAGTGAAAGGTAATTCTTAAACTGTTTTGAATCATTCTCATTTTAATGAATGGTGTTTCTAAGCCATATTTTTAAGTATTGCAAATATTTAGTAAGAACTAGGACAGCACTGTATTTTTATTTACTTATATGAAATTATCTGTGCTTTTTATTATTAGGATCCTGTTGATCTAGGATGGAAACCTTATGTTAAATCATGGCTTTGGAAAACTTCCAAAATTATGAGTCAAACAGGAGTGGATTGTCTTGAGTTCATGATTAATGCAAGTGTTGCAGATGGACTACAGTTTCTAAAGAAGCATCAGAAATTTCAGCCATTTCCTGTACAGGACATAACAATCATTGTGACCCTCTGTAGAATTCTTGACTCTTTCTTTGAATTCATGAGTGAAAATGGAGGCTTTGGACAAAGTGAGTTTTTTCCCCTAAATTGCATTAATATTATAGCTTAGTTAGTCAATGTCAGTTATTTATTACCTTCTATTAGATAAGGCACTTGACTGCTAACCAGAAGGCTGGCGGTTCAAACCCACCAGCCACTCCTTGGAAGGAAGGTTGGGCAATCTACTTCTGCAGTGATACTGCCTCAGAAACCCAAGGAGGGCTTGCTATGAGTCAGGTCTGACTCAATGGCACATAACAACAACAGCATTAGATTTTATAAAAGGACATAAAGAAAGGAAGGCTACTTTCTTACTTAAAAGAAATTTGTAGTATATTTGTATCAACAGAAGACATGCACAGAAACAAACATTTTTTAAAAAATGTATAGAAAGAGATATCAATAAAAGTGAGTTAATATTGAACATAAGTATAAAGAGTCACAGAAAAAAATGAATGTAGCAAATCCTTAGAGGGTTTCTATTAAGTAAGAATGCTCTTGCCATTGTTAAAAGATTCTTAGAAATAGTGGAAGAAACTTGCCAAAATCCTAGGTTGAAGCTGGAATTATGCAAAAAGTATAAACACAGACAGTAGTGAAACATTTGTAAGAAGAGATCAACAAATTCAGAAAACAATATAACATTATGGCTAAAGTCATGGGCTCTACAAAATGCCTACATTCAGATATTGGTTCGATTTGGTTGCTGATAAGAAGGCAACTTAGCACAGCTTACAACTGTCTCTCCAAAACCTGATTTTGGATCTACTGAACTAACACAAAAGTTGTGAGAAATACCTGGTGTGACATAAGATGGTTAGGTCCCAGTGTGTGTGGGGGAGAGAGAAATACAATCCTGAGTGAAAGAGAGCTGGGTGCCATGAACGGAAGATAAGGTGGGGAAAAGTATTTTTAAGTTTGCGCTTTATCCTTCTCAGGGCTCTGAATGGGGTATTGCCATTAGTAGTGGGTTGAATGCCAGTTAGTTCAACACAGCACAGCTCAGAGTGGTAACAAATTACGATGGCAGCAAAGCCTGACTGGGATAGGAAGCAAGTAAAAAAGAAATTTCCTCCTACTGCCTTCCAATCTTAAAGCCTAAGTGATTAAACACAGATAGAGTGCACTTAAAAAAGAGATAGATTACATAGATTGTTAACATTCAGGTTCTCTGTCTTGAAGAGTGTCTTCACACCCGAGAAATACAATTTGAAATTCATCAGAAGTATAAGTCAGGACCTGAAATTTAGTTCCTTATCTCAAGTATATATCATAGGCTGAGGGAGCTATTAGCAGAAAAATAATGAGAGCTGTGGGGAATTGAACCACTGTAAATAGGATTGAAAAGTGAAAATCCCCACCTAGAAACACTATTTGTCCCACAACTCTTGGTTGCTATATCTGTTGTCGTTTTCATTTTTTTTTTTTCTTTGTGTTCAAGTTCAGATAATTTCCATTGATTTACCTTCCACTTCACTGATTCCTTCTCTGTTGCACCCTGTCTTCTATAAACCCGTTGAAAAAATTCTCACCTCTGACACCATGGTTTTTTTTTCTAACATTTCTATTTGACTCTTTTCTCAAATAATATTTATCTCTGTTGAAATTCCCTACTTGTGAATGTTGCATTTCATATCAAATCTTTCAATAGTTTAATGATAGTTACTTTAAATTCTTCATTTAATTCTAACATCTGGACCATCTCTGTGTCTGTTCTGCTGTTCCTTTATCTCTTGGAAATGGAACTTGTTTCCTTGATTATTTGTGTGTCTCATAATTTTTAATTGGATTTCAGCTATTATGTATAAAGCAAGAGTAGAGACTGAGGTATATCATATTTATACCTTTAAAAGGGCTTGCCTCATCTGCCAGACTGTTGGGATATGGAGCATAGAAGTGGTTTGAGTCAATATCAAGCTGAGTTTGGCATATATTATTAATTATTGCTGGTTGGTAATTCTAGTTGTTTTTCCTGTTCTACATGCTTTATAATGATAAATCCATAAAAAAAAGTATAAATTTACATTATTAGGCATACAATGTATGAAGATGTAATTGGGGATAACAACATAAACCGGGGAAGGAGTAATATATGGAAATTTTTTAATTTAAGTTGTTAACAATTTAAACAGTTGTTGTTGTTGATGATGTTAGATGCCATTGAGTCAGCTCTGACGCATAGCGAACCTATGTTCAACAGGACAAAAAACACTTCCTGGACCTGTGCCAGCCTCACAATCCTTGCTATACCTGAACCCATCATTGCAGTCACTGTGTCAATCCATCTCGTTGACAGCCTTCCCCCTTTTTGCTGACCCTCCACTTTACCAAGCATGCTATCTTTCTCCAGGGAATGGTCCCTTCTGACAACATGACCAAAGTAGGGGAGACGAAGTCTGGCCATTCTTTTTTCCAAGGAGCATTCCGGCTGCACTTCTTCCAGCACAGATTTGTTAGTTCTTCTGGCAGTCCATGATACTTTCAGTATTCTCCACCAACACCACAACTCAAAAGCATCAACTTTTGTTCAGTCTTCCTTATTCATTGTCCACCTTTCACATGCATATGAGGCCATTGAAAATATTTTGGCTTGGGTTAGGCGCATCTTAGTCTTCAAAGAGACATATTTGCTCTTCACCTTAAAGAGGTCTTTTGCGGGTAGATTTGTCCAATGCAATACATCATCTGATTTCTTTACTGCTGCTTCCATTGGTGTTGATTGTGGAAACAAGTAATATGAAATCTTTGACAGCATCAATCTTTTCTCCATTTGTCATGATGCTGCTTATTGGTCCAGTTGTGAGGATTTCCATTTTCTTTATGTTGAAGTGTATTCCATACTGCACACTATAGTCTTTAATCTTCACCAGTAAGTGCTTCAAGTCATCTTCACAACAAATCTTCCTCCAATCCTCCAATCCTGATACCACGTTCTTCTTCATATAATCCAGCTTCTTGGATTATTTGCTCAGCATACAAATTGAACAAGTATCGTGAAAGCATACAACTCCCTTCCTGATTTTAAACCAGGCTCTATCTGTTCGAATGACAGCCTCCTGGTCTATGTACAGGTTCTTCATGAGCACAATTAAGTGTTCTAGATTTCCCATTTTTCTCAATGTTATCCATAATTTGTTATGATCCACACAGGTGCATGTTTTTGCATGGTCAATAAAGCAGAAGTAAACATCTTTCTGATATTCTTTGCTTTCAGCCAATATCCATCTGACATCAGCAATGATAGTCCTTTTTCCTCATCCTCTTCTGAATCCAGCTTGCAATTATAGAAGTTCCCTGTCAATACACTGCTGCAACCATTTTTGAATTATCTTCAAGAAAATATTACTTGCATGTGATATTGATGATATTTTTTGATAATTTCTACATTTTGTTGGATAGCCATTCTTTGGAATGGGTACAACTATGGATCTCTTTCAGTCAGATGACCAGATGGTATCTATCTTCCAAATTTCTTGACACAGATGAATAAGTGCCTCCAGTGTGGCATCCATTTGTTTAAACATCTCAATGGGGTCAATTCCTGCAGGCTTGATTTTCACCAATTCCTCCAGTGCAACTTTGACTTTTTCCTTCAATACTATTGGTTGCTGGTCATATGCCACCTTCTGAGATAGATGAACACTCATCAATTCTTTTTAGTAGAGTAACTTCCATCTTCTTTTGATGTTACTTCCATCATTCAATATCTTGCCTATAGACGCCTTCCATATTGCAATTCAAGGTTTGAATCTTTTCTTCAGTTCTTTCAGCTTGAGAAATATCGAGCATGTTCTTCCCTTTTGGTTTTCTAACTCTGGGTTTTTGCACATTTCATTATAATAATTGCCTTTGTCTTCTCAAGGTGCTCTTTGCAATCTTTGGTTCATCTCTTTTTTCTTGTCATTTCTTCCCTTTGCTTTAGCTACTCTCTGTTCAAGACCAAGTTTCAGAATCTCTTCAGACATCCATTTGGATCTTTTCTTCCTTTCCTTTTATTTATTTTATTGTTTTTTAATTGTACTTTAGTGTAAATTAACAGGGCAGAATTTGTTTTACATTCAACATTTTGTGTACATTTGGTTTCACTCCCCAATTACCATTCCCAGCCCTAACCCACTCTCCTCTTCTCCCTTCCCAGTAACACCCCCTCCTTGTGCCCTTTCTAGTTATGCATTCCTGTGTGTCCTGCTTTTCCTCTGTGTGAGTGTTGCCACTCTGGTGCCCCATGGCCAATTGCTTCAAAGGATGTATCTCCCGTACAGTATGGGGGTACAGACCCCTGGATTGAGTGGTCTGCATGTACCTCTTATTTACTATTGGGCTGAAAGCCAACCACTGGGAGTGAGTTTTATCCCAGGCCTAAAGTGTATCCCAGGGCCATAGTCTTTGGGGTTCCCACCAGACTCCATCCAACCAGTAATTCTGGTCATTGTTGTGTTTTTGGATTTTGTTCCACATTTTCCCTCCCACTTTATGCAGGAACTCCAGTTTTGATCCCTTCCTGAGTAGTTGGCATTGGTAGCCAGGCACCATCTAGTTCTTCTGGTCTCGAGGTCCATCATATCCTAGACCTGATTGTTTCCAAATGCCATTAGCTGATACTTAGATGGCCACTCAAAAGCTTTTAAGACCACAGTTGCTACTCACCAAAGTAGGTTGTGGAACAAGATTTTTATGTGTTTTGTGCCAATTGAGTCTGGTGTCCCCCAATACCATGGTCATGAGTCAGCAGATCTACTGGGTCCCTCTCCCATAGTGTCTGGCTGTCTGTGAGGGATTGCTCTATGTCTGTCTTCTGTTGCTTCTGCAATGATTGCAGGTATTTTGTATCACTGGTATCTGTGCAAGATTAGCCTCAGTTGAATCTATCTTTGGTCTAGAGTATAATCCTGTTCACTGACCTCCATATGATCTTCTCAGTTGTCTATGTGTTTATCTGTAGTGTGGTGTTTGGTGTAAATGGCAATGCTGTTTTGTGGATATACTGGTATTAGCCTATGTCATCTCTATCTTATGTGCCAAATTCAGT